AAGAAAAGAAAGTCATATATGCTGTTTCCTATTTAAGGGGAAGTGCATACACCTGGATCCAGAGGCGAGTTGATCAATACATTCTGAAGAAAGGAGACGTTCCGCATGATGTCAAAAGGATTTTCCAGAGTTACTCAGTATTCACGGGGGAAATGGATCAGTACTTTCAGCGAGTTGATGAGGCTCATCTAGCTGAAAAAAAGTTATTGGAACTACGCCAAAAGTCAGATGCAAGTTCCTATGCGGTCGAATTTGAGAAATGGGCGGCAATTTTGAAATGGAACGACGACGCACTTCGAACAAAGTTCTTTGCAGGACTTAAGCCAGAAGTCAAGGCTCAGTTACGACTTAGGGAGAAGGAGATATCTACCCTTACCGAACTCATCGAATCAGCGATTAGGGTCGATTCCATTCTATTCGAAAACAAGCTTGATAAACAAGGAAAGACGCCCAGGTACCAACCCAATCATGGGAGACCACGACGCTCTACCGATTACTATGGACCGCAGCCTATGGAGATAGACAAGCTCCAGAAAGGCGAACAAGCCCCGAGAAAGCCCAAGAATTTCAAGAAGAACACGGGAAATTGTTTTAAGTGTGGTCAACCAGGACATTTTGCTCGAAATTGTTCGAGACCCAAGAAACAGTCAATTAAGGCTCTGGGAACAGGCGTGCAGACGAGGAAGATTGCGATGCTCAGGAAAGGCTCTCACAACACGTACCGATGGGGACCAAATCAAAATACTGGACCACGGAACGAGACTGTGGTTCAGGGAATCCTAGAACGAAATCCCGACGTTCAGACAAATATGGCTCATAAATTCCATTGGGCACTACCGATTAGCCATTGTAAGGTCCAGGATTGTGGATTTTGGGAGCATAGTGAAAATAAGGACCCAGGGGAACCATCATGGGAGTATCCTTACGGACCACCTAAAGTTTCCTTTACACAAGTACGACGAATACTCCAGATTGAAGGTATTAAAGGAAATGATCGTCACGTACACCACGAGCACCTTCCACTTAACCTTTGCACAGCTTGGAGTTGTCAATGTCCAAGACACCGTGTACCAGTGATGCAGTGGGGAATTATCGATGATAACCACATATCTATTGACGCAGGACCATCACCACAGGGAATCCAAAGTACAATTGGAAATCTTGACCCTGAAGAGAACGAGATGATGGAAAATATCTACAAATGCATCATGAAGCTTATCTATATGACAGATGACGCAACAAGAAGGGCTATTACATGGGTTTTGCCTAAGGACCCATATCAAATTGGATTTCAGATGAACGCAGATCCAGACTCTAAAGATCCACAAAAGATGTATCGACTAAACCTGCAAGTAACAAAAGAGATGTCCAACCCGGATGGAAGTTCCGAGGAATGGGAGTCAGGCGAAGAGACGCTTGATGACGGTGAAAGCGAGCACCCTTACTTCTCAGGAAACAAGGAGGTCGACTATTAAGGGGTGTAATAGTTGACTCTTAGAAGGAACCTCGAAGCCTCAGCAAGTTAGGGGAGAGCAAGCTGATGGTAGAAGTTGAGATTGCAGGCAACTCTACCATGGCCATGATTGACTCAGGAGCTACGGCAGACTTCTTGAGCAGTCGATATGCGAGGGAGTGGGATTTACCCTTACGCAAGAAGAAGGACCCATATCCACTTATCACTGCTGACGGAACTCCGATTGCTTCAGACCAAGGCATGGTTGAGTATGAGACAACCGTCGACATGACAATGTTAGGCAAAAAGGTTAGAAGGACGTTCGATGTCACTAACATTGGGGATTCGGATATCATCCTTGGATTGTCATGGCTCCAGGACGAAAGACCGCACATCGACTGGTCAACCTTAACTGTGTCTCTGGTTAAGGAT